AAGGCTAAAGCCAGGAAAAAACCCAAACTTCTATGTTGTTCCTTTCAACCAATAGATACCAAGAATTAGTGAAATTCTTATCTACTACAACCAAAACAGCCCAGTTAAGGAAAAAAAAAAAACTTGCTATTTTTCTGTTTCTTGTAAAGTACATACTTCAATAGGTTTGCAAAGCATGAAGGTCCAAAAATAGCCTGTATTTTTTTCCACAGAAAATCTAAAATTAGCAACTCCTTATTTCCAATCTACAAGGGGATTTTTTTCCCCCCAGAAAGTCATATATCAATTTAAAACTAAGCAGATAAGGGCATGAATATGCACACATCTAATAAAAATGTTCTAATAAGAGGATTAAGAAAATATAGATGTTCATTTGCATTCTAGTGGGAAATACTTTTAGTCTTAAAAATTTCCAAAGCTGTTATTTCAGAAATCTGTAGAGCCTCTCTCTTTCTTTCACTTTCATCAAGTAATGCCAACCAACTAGATCCAGGAATCTTTGATTTGAATTTTTTTCTAAAACTGAAAGCAGAAACTTTCCTATGGAGAATCCACATTTTGGAAACTCTGTGAGGCACTGGTCCTATTAATATCAATTAATTAATCTTGAGAGCTTAGTAGATAGCTTATTGAGCTATTAGAAGAAAAGCTATTGTCTTCATTTATGCATAATATGAATGTTATTGTTCATGTTATAATTAACATAGATACTTGAAGAATTTTAAACCAAGAAAATAATTAAATAAAATGTTAAAAGTCTGTGAACAAGGCAATCATGTAGTTCTTTTAGAATTCAGTGACTGGATAAAGTTTTTCTTTTTTGAAAAACACTGTGCTTCCTCTTTTCTGATTACTATGATAAGAAAACTCACTATGTTTCTCTTTCTGACTTGGCTGCCAGGAAGCTCAGGGCTGAACTAAGGGCCCATTTACTGTAAATGCTTTCCTGCTGATATTTAAGCATATTCTCTTCACTTATTCATTTATTTTAGTTCATGATTATTTCTATTTCATTATGCCAATGTATCTAAATTCTATATGTATGGAAAGAAGCTGGGAGGTCATCAATTTCAACAAGAAATTCATTCCAAACCATTTATTGTGTAACCACTACGAGTCAGGCACTATTCTAGAGGATGCGGATGTAGTTTGTTAAAAGATGATTTTCACAAGAGAGTGAATATATCTAACTGTATCCTTAAGAGAGAGAAAAAACCTGCCAATCAAACCAACTTCAAGAAAACAGAAATTTCAAAGAATTTCCTTAAAAGAAAAGCCTGCCAACATCAATTTAACTTTCACAAAGAGGAAGTTAATATAGTGAATGTAGTTATCTTCTGACTTGCTTTCACAGGGTTATGAAAACTCATTACTTAGCTATATGACCCTCTTCTCAAGGGTTTGGCAATAAAACCAGCCTTCATCCTGGGGCATGTGCTAAGCAGTAATAACACCACTCATGAAATAAAAGCTTCCAAATAAATTACCCCTTAAAAACAGAGGTCAATTTAAACATTCTAACTTCCAGGAAAGGGGGCTTTGGGTCTAAGATTTCCTACCTTGGAGCTTCTGATGCAACAAATAAGTAGCACCTACTGGGGCAAGCCAAGAAACTCGATGCGCTTCGCATGGCTGACCAGGCAAGAATAAGTGTTAACCGGTGAAGCACTTCCCTTTATATAGATGACTTCAAGGTTGGTGGGCTCAAATTTGCCCTTGCTTTCAGCTTTGTTTTGCTTTACTGGCTTGCAAATACATGTTGCACAGTGCTCCTAAGTTGGCCTGCATGCTGCCAGCCTGATGTGGAGGAAGGTATTCAAACTTAGAAGGATCTTGCCCTTGGCCTCCACTCTCAGGCCCCAGCGTTCTCGCTCACTTTAAAGCTGCCAGCTCCCAATAGCCTTGTAATGAGGGAAGGCAGCCCAACAAGGCTGCCCACAGATGCATGTGCTTGTCACCTGCCCCAGCAATTGCAAATGGACTAGCAGTTCTCAGGGCAACATGCTTGCCTTCCCTTTGCAAGAGAAAGCTGTGTAAATAATTATTACATTTCAGATAGGGCAAATTATTGGACTTCTCGATTTGAACTATGGGGAGAGGGCTTCTCAGACTAACATAAATGTCTTTAAATAACAGCTGCCTGTATTTCATCCAGAAACTAAGTTAACACTTTTTAAAGCGGTGTCATGCTTTGGTGACTTTCTAAGAGAAGCCAAACACTGGAGAGGCTGACGCTTTTTAAGTAACTGTAAGCAGCATCTCAAAGGACTCAGAGAAGCCACAAATAACAAAGTCTGACAATTGATCTAGAAAAATCAGAGTGCTCTAATTAAGAAAAAAGCAGACCAAGAGGAATTTTTTTAAAAATCCCAGATTCGTGTCCAAAATGCTGTAAGGGGAATTTTAGAATTACAGCAAGGTAATCACTTCATTATTTTGTGCCACAAAACTCAAATTTTGTGGGACAAGATAATACTGGGTCAAGATCCCCAGACTTATAAATACAGATGCAAAAACTGTAACTTTACATTAAATGGGTGGGGGAAGAGTTGGGGAGCGGAATCAGGACCGCTGAGCCGGATGTTTCCAGTTCTCGGCATTCGCAGATGCACGGAACACAGACGGGATGATCAATTTTGGGAAGGCGGCCGATTCTCCCCTCCTCCATTGCCTTTAGATCCGTCGTCCTGGGCTTTCTTTCCTAATGGCATTTCGTTTCTAGGAAAGTCCCTCATATCTTTCGGTCTAATTACCTCATTGTACAAATCTTTGAAAAGGAAAGAACTTCGGCTCGCTCTGCGCGCTGACATCTTTTCTTCTGCCTGGTCTCTCAGTAAGCCTGCAACCAACTTTCGCTGAAAAGGATGTAGCTGAAGGGCGATGAGGCTTGAAATCCCGCCGTTCTCCTCTCATTCTCTCTTTTCTTTCTCTCCACGTTCGCCACCCCTACACCTTCTCCCCTCCCCCGACCATCTTCGACCGTTTTTAAGTATGCTCGGGCGTTTTAAAGAGTTTCCTCCCTCTGTTTCTCCCTCTGATCCGAGAGGCACTTTCAGTGGAAGGTAGACCATAGCAGGCGCCTGACCTGGGCATAGGCAAATGGAATACTTGAGAGGAGTAGATCTAATTGAAAAATCTCTTGCTGCCTAATTGCGATTAAGTATTTCGCAGATAAGTGAGCATATTATTCTTTTGATAGTGTTCAAAACTCCAGTCTTTTGCCCTTTGCATTCTTGTGTATTTAACAGACTTATATAGCGCTTACCATGTACCAGGCACTGTTCTAAACGCTTTTAAAATATGACCTTCTTTGCTTAAAAAATATCTTTGAGACATTAACTCCGAGTGTGCTTTTCGAACGTTCCCGCTATATTTTTCCTTATAACATGGTACAGCGGTTATCTTCAAAGAAAAATATGCAAAAACTTTAGTTGCTACTTTATTGCAAGCAAACCATTTCCCTCTTTGAAATTTTTTTCAATTATTGTAATCAAATACACTAGTATAGGGAGGAAGAAAATTTTTTTCTTTCAAGACGATCTCAGGTTTTGCCTCTGGCGTTTGCAAGCGCCCGCTAATTTGCTCGCGTGGCAAACGTTAATTGCACCTGTAGGCGTTCGCTTTCAGAGAAACGTGCAGCCCTCGCTGAAAGTTGTGCTGGTAGAGTTCGCGCCAGGCCGGCTGCGGCGCGTTCCCCTGTGGCCTGTGCGGACTGGCCACTGGCACATGCGCCTTGGAGGTGGAGCGGGCACCTCGCGCGCGTCGGGCTCATCACTCGCAGGGCGCGGGGATCTGGAGGGGGTGGCGTCTGGAGAGGTCTGAGCAGGTGGGGGCCGCGCCGGCTCAGCTCAACGCACCGCGCTCAGGCCGCCGGCGGGGCGGCGAGCAGAGGCCCGGAGACCTGAGCGGGCCGGCCACCCGCCCTGAGGCCGACAGCCGAGCTGGGGAGGTCACCGCCCCCCGCGGCCCCGCCGTCCTGACCTGACCTGGTCCACTCCCACCAAGCCCCGTCCGGCCCCCGCCAACTGTGTACTTTGCCCGGGGTTACTTTTCAGAAGTCAGGATGGAACGTTTCGGGTTTCTGTTCACACGGTTATTGCAGGCACCGCGGTGGGGACCGCACAAAAGAGACGAGGGCGTGTGGGGAAGGGGTTTTGTGTTTTAATGAGGGCTTAACACGCTGGCTGCAGGTCCTTCCTGCTCTCCCCGAGCCCAACCCCCCCCCCGGGCCCGGTCCTTTCACGTCGCATCCTTTCCTCTGTTCCTCCCCGCCCCGTGCCGGTCTTGCGTGGAGAGAGAATGGAGCGTCAAAGGGACGTCCTAAGCAGATCCCCCCAAATATGACTCCGTCCGTGGCGGAGGGCCGTGGTGATGGACAGACGCCCCCTTCTCAGAGGCTTTTCTCCACTCAGCACGGAGCTGTCCCGGCGCAACGAAGGGGAGTCTCCGGCTTGACCCGGACCGACCCGCCGCCCGCTCGGTCTGCTCAGCTCCTGCCCTCCGGAGGCACACCGGCGCAGCCTGTCCAAAATTGCAGGCACCGCGGCGCATGCAGAAAAAAGACAGCTTGAAAACATGTTTTGAAAGCTCATGTAGAGTTTCTACAACCCACGTTGTCCAATGCTCTAAAAACTGGACACGAATTCGTACGTTAGAACAATTCAACTTCCAAGAGCGATTTTTTTTCACGTCCGGAATCCTAATTAACTCTACCGCTGCGACTGCACACATCAGGGGGAGTGGAGAGTTGCAATTATCTGGATACTCCAAGCCCGAAAAAGTCGAACTTGAAAAACGACTAAAACTGTGCCCTGAAATACCCGCACTATTGCTCTAGTCCTGCCTGCCACCAGAGTAGACACAACCTCAGCCCACGGGCTACTCGGCGGGACCTACTCTCCACAGCCCCACTGGCCTAATGGAAATAACTGATGTAGAGCAAATCCAAAGTCCTAGGGTGGCCCACCTCTCAGACCCTCCGACCGCCAGCGGTTAAGTACCTGGTCGGGGAAACTCACGTCCTTATCTGTTCACAGCCCAGAGGCCGCGGAAGGAGCCTCGGCAGTTGCCAGAGAGAAAAGCAACTTTGATTTAAGGTTTTCAAAAACCCCAGAGAGCAAATGTGACCGCCAGGGTCAGCCAGTCAGCACTTTTGGTCCAGACAAGGGATAGCCGAGCGGGGCGCTTCGGTTAAGCCGCGGCGCCTCCCGACGTCACACACGCTCGCTCACACTCAGCCACGCGCTTGGGGTTAGTGTTCAAACACAAGACCGCAACTTCACCGGCAGACTGCGGCGAGCGGAGGAGGGCCCCAGCCGGAGCGCGGAGCCCACCCCCAGCCGGCCCGCCTCCGCCGCGCCCGCGCCCGCGCCCACGCCCGCGCGCTTCCCCGCTGCCGCCGGCGACCTCGCCCCGCCCGCGCGCAGCTCCAGCGCCCCAGGTGCGCGGCCGCGTTCCCACGCCTTGGCCGGAGCCCCGCGGCGGGCATTGGCGAGCGCGGCCCCGCCCCCCGCCCCAGCCAATCGCGGGCCACGCCGACCCCCGAGGAGGCGGTGCCCGGGGGGGTGGGGGAGCCTGCGCGCGGGAGGCGGGCGAGGGGGCCCCGCCCGCGCGGGGGGGCGTGGCCGGCGCCGGCTCCTGCGGCCGCGCTGGGCTGCGGCGTGGGAAAGAGCGGCGAGGAGCTGACCGCGCCGCCGCCGGAGCCGCGCCTGCCGGGCCCGGGGAGGGAGGGAGGGAGGAGGCAGGCGGGGAGGGCGCTGCGCCCGCGCGGTCTTCGTCGCGATGAAGCGCCCTTGCGAGGAGACGACCTCCGAGAGCGACATGGACGAGACCATCGACGTGGGGAGCGAGAACAATTACTTGGGGTGAGCGCGCGCTCGGCGGGAGCTGCCCGGAGCCCGGGGCGTCGGGAGCTTTGTGCACGAGCGGCTCCTTGGAGATCCCGAGGCTCCTCTCCGCGCGTCCTAACGGAGCGGGGAAAGTTCTGCCCGAGAAACTTGGAGCGGTGGGCGCTCTGGGAGCGTGCGTTGGGGTGGGGCGAGGGCTGTCGGGTTTCGCTGTAGGGGTGGGGCGGAGAGGTCGGGGGACGCGGCTGAGAGAGAGCGCAGGAGTGGGCGAGGGAGGGTCCCCGGCTGTCAGCGTGGGGCGCGCGGACAGGCACGTCCCGGAGACCGGCGACGCCCCCGCCACTGAAGTTGTGTTTGGAAGCACTTTCAACATGGGCCGGGTGAAAAGAGAAACAGATTGATTTTTACTTTTAAAGGGACTTGAAAAATGACTTGCTTTTTTTTGAGAAATGAAAGCAATTTGCGATGTTAAGGCCGAGTAGCTTGAGCTTTCCAGGTTGGCCGTGTGTGACTTGGCTGACGGGAGAGTGAGTGACAGATGTAAGGATCGTTTAGGGCATCGTCTCTTTGACTGCTTGTTCCTAAGTCTGGAAAAGATCGGGGTCGTGATCACAGAAGCCAGACCTCCACTTTCCAGTGACAGAGGGAGATTACCGAGGCATTTTAGTGCCAAGGCGGGTCAAATGATAATTGCTTCTAATTGGCATCCCCAGAAGCACCTTAATTATTTATCTGTCACTCAACGAGCAAAATTCTTCCTGCCTTTGGAAAACTGATTTTATTTCAATTTTGTCGTTCTAATACGTACAGACCAAAGCCTGACATCAGCGAACGCAAAGATATTTACATGAAACGTTGTTTGCAAAGTATCTTCGAATTATTAAAGTGTTGTTATGTCATCTTAGAAAATGAGGTCTGAAAAACAGAAGATGTGTCATGTGAAAGGCGAAACCCGTTGAAAAGGGGTGGGAATGAGGGGGACAGTGAATTCAGAAATAAGATCCAGAAGTGAGAAGGCGAGGTAATAAGAACCCGGTGTGTGCAACATTTCTAAAATGAAGGAGAACAAATAGCAGGAACCTGGAGAATTTGAGAACAGAAAGAATCGTAGTCTCCATGAATTATGAAGAGAAACAGATACAAACTAGAAAGGATCGTAAAAATTACGTGACAAAATAATGGTTGGTTGAGCTTTCAATATAAAATATCTCTTCATTAGGAAACTCACGATGGATTGCAGCTTCTAGAGCGTTAAGCTTAGATTGAAGGCTGAGAGAGATTCACCTACAGTTTCATTTTCAAAGTAAAACATTTCCCTCGTAGTTGATCTCATTTTAATTTCCCTACCAATGGCGTATTTAATCCGGGGCATTCTTTTGGAAGATTAGTCTGCAAAACATTAAAATTTGTCGGTTTTTTTCCTGTTGTGAGATATGACTAATTGAAGTTTGGAAATAGATAACTTCTGTTTATTTTAAACATTGCGTCTAGGGACAACAGTTTGACGTGACGACTGTATCTGTTCGATAGTGTGCTAAGCATGGCCTTTATTTTAAAATAGCTTTGCCTTGTTCACTGTGTCTGATGGAGAGAGGCGGAGTGATGCTATTCGGGATTAGATGACTTTGAAGAAACGTTTATGAGTGGAACTAGGCAGTACTAATAGCTCACTTCTCACCCTGACTGCCCATGATTATTTCACTGGGAGACCAAATAAAAGTCTAGGGGCGGTTTTGCCAATGGATTTGGCATCTGGATACTCCTGAAAATTTTAAAAAAAAAAAAAAGCGGGGCATGATTTCTACCTGAAAAAAGGTAAGGGCTGAATGCAAAGTATGTTCAGGGTAAAGCAAGAATTAAGAATAAAATCGCACGGACCTGAACTGTGCCATCTCTCTTAATACTTAATGTGTGCCATCGAGTGCCCAGAAGAAAGCATTTTTATGTTAATTCGGCACCTGACATACTCTTCCTATTTCTTAGGCAAAGTACTAGCTCTGTGATTAGATCGAATTCTCCAACAGCAACATCTCAAATTATGGCAAGAAAGAAAAGGAGAGGGGTATGTGGTTTTTTTCTTTTTATTTCATGTAATCCAGCCGAATGTGTAACAGTTGTATTTTTCCATTATGAGGAAGTTTATCATGTGTGTATTCATAAACTTTCATTGCTGTTTTGCTTTCTTTGGGATAGATAATAGAGAAAAGGCGTCGAGATCGGATAAATAACAGTTTATCTGAGTTGAGACGGCTGGTGCCAACCGCTTTTGAAAAACAAGTAAGCTACCCTCAGCCCTAACCACCTCAACCAAAAAGCTCAAAAAAATCTGATTCTCTCATCTGGGAATGTGGGTTCTTGTTAAAGCTCATTAAAATAATAGTGTATGTGCCCTGATCTGGTACAGAGCAGCTATTTCAATAAAATGCTTTGTTGTGGCAAAACTATTAAAAACATAATCCATCATGAAGTTGAAAAACATTCCCATTCTTCAGCTTATTTTCCCCTTAAGGGTAACAGTGTTCATGCTTTCTCTGTTCTTTCTATGAATACCAGTAGTGGTTTTGTTTAAAACCGAGCCGTATGTAGAATTCTTAAAACAAACAAAAAAAAAAAGATATGTGAAATTTCATCTTTGTCTCAAACTGTTAAAAAAAAAAAGAGTAACCTTTTTATTTTAAAAGTAAGCAAAGCCCAGGAAGTAACATCTCTAGTTCTGTTTCCTAACTAATAATAATAATAAAATTTCTTTACCAAGCCACTTGGTTTCATTTTTAATCGCTGGGTGAATAGAATGATATTTGAGTTGGGGCATCTCTTTTGGAAGTTTGGTAAAAATCAAAGTAGCCATAAATGCCCCTTTTCAGAATTCAGGTATTCCTTTACAAAAAAAAAAAAGATTTTGCACAGTTATAAAAGTAGGAAGCCAAGTGTTTAAATCTTCCTTTGTCGTTTTGGAAAAGTTTGGTTTCTCCTGCCGCCATGGCTAATGGCACAGACTTCTAAGAGCATCTTTCAAAGAATACGGGATCATACCCTTGTTGAAAATACTTTCAATTTAATTCAAATAGGGTATAAGACAGCAGTTGTTTGTTTATTCCATTTTGCTGTTTAGTTCATGAACCACAAACATTATAAAGCAAGCCCTACAATGCCTTTGGACATTATCCAGAAACTGCAGTTTTGTTATTAGTCACTTTCACTGAAACTCCTGTCCATCTGCATGGAAAGTTGAACATTGACAGAAGTACAAGATGCAATATGCTATCGATTATACATTTTTAAGAGAAAAGAGACACCCATTCTATATGCTGAAACTATCTTTGATAAGCTAAATATAGTAAGGAAATTCTAGCTTTGATTACTAGCATTTTCAATGACAATAGGCTGAAAATGAAAATGCCAGTCATCAGTGATGTTTTTACTTTGAGTGCCAAAACGTCTACAGTTATGAGGAACAGTCAGTTTGGTGATTTTTTTTTTCTTGGTTTGTTGGACATTTTTCTAAAATGTTGACTTAAAACAAACCTTAAAAGCTGGCCTCAGTTGTTTGGCAGTCAGTTGCCATAAACACAGGCTTTCCCATTTGCCGAACTTGGCTACCGACCCTAGTGAGCTGGCCCTGTCACAATATGATTAGAACAGTGTTCTTTCGAGCAGTTTAAATAACTCTGGCACTCTCGCCACGGATGGGGTGCTGATAATTTTCACCAAACAAGTAAAGCATAGGAACCTGAAATAAACTTCAATGTCCTTTTCAAAAAGACATATTGATTTAATTATGTAGCTCTTCCAGGAAATTAGAAGCCACCCACAGCCCTCTGAGACAGTTTGAGGTGGCACATTTGTATTTCAATTGGTTTCCAGAGGTTGCCTTGTTTTAAGGAGGGGGGACATAAAAATACATTTCTAAGACAATTTTATAAAGAACTATTTTAAAGGGTTCAAATATCTTTAAGCACTTATGATGCTTATTAGATAAGTAGTACAGTTTGCCGTCTTGTTTATGGTCTTGGAATTCACAGTGACACCTGCTGGTAATTATTAGGGAGAAAAACGTAAAAGTAAAGACAGAATTTTCTGTTTTGAAAACTCCTAACAATAATTTTCTAAGATCCCATGTCCTTATCCTCCAGAGCTGGGTTCACCCGACCTAGACTTCAGTGTTATTTAAGACTACTGGATGTGCTGTAATAAAATAAAGTTTATGATTAACCAAGGTAGGGATTAGATGCAAAGTTTGAGATTTTAGCAATTGTAATAGTTTTGGAGTATACTTAGGAGTATAATTATTCTTATGATAAAATTATTTATTATGCCTTTTAGTCTTTAAAAGTCAAAATGGCAAGTATCTGTCATTAGGTGTGACACAGTAATTAGTGTTTTCATGTAAAGTTTGGAAAGAATTCAGATTTCTCTGTGAAAAAATTTAATTTAAAATTTTCTAGTGGGAGGGAAAATTGAAAATTCAGTGTAAAATATTCCAAATTAGTTTCCCTAGGACTTATAAGACTTTCTTCTTTGTTTATTAAGGGATCTGCAAAGTTAGAAAAGGCTGAAATATTACAAATGACAGTGGATCATTTGAAGATGCTTCAGGCAACCGGGGGTAAAGGTAAGTTTGTGACTTCATTTTTTCCCCCTTCCCACCTTTCTCTTTTCATTTTTTCCCCCTAAGATTGTAGGGAAGTCATAGTTGAAGAGTTCTTTAACAAGCTGAGATAGGAGATCCCAGATTAAAGCCGTGGAAATCAATGCTAATGGCAGGATTGAACTCGTGGGAAAGAACTTCTGGAACAAAAGAAGCACTTGACCCTGGGCTTGTGTTTGCTTTCATAATACTGTGGGAGTAAAGCTTCATTCACGGCAGCCTGGTCCGAGATTTGTTTGGGACCTCAGAAGCGCATGCTGGAATCTGTGCAGAGAGACAAAACAAACACCCAAACATAAACAGGAGGTTAGAGGCAACCTCTTCTTCTTTCCCTTCGCCTGAGCCCCCCTTCAAACAGAGCTGGGACCTAATATAATGCAGCTATTCCAAAGGAAGTGACTCTAGAATTATCTTCATTGTTGTTTGCAGATTTGGGTCGGTCTTGGATTTAGAGCAGACAGAACATTTGAAGTGCTGGTAGTGAATCTCTGTGCTGGAAACCATGCACGGAGCAGTCATTCCTGTGGAGAGCAAAGACAAGCAGGTGCCCAGTGCCCAGTGCCCTGGAGAGGAGTCCTCTGCACTGGATAGTGATGTGGGGAAGGATATCCAGGGGGTCAGGACAGACCGTCACCTTGTGCTAAAAATTATAGACTTGAGATCCTGAAAGCTGTAATACTCATTCAGATTTCATTATCCACTTCTCACACATCACTTAGACTTGATTTTGCCCTTTTGTATCTTTTTCGCCCTTCAGGTTAAGCCTTTGCTATTCATCATAGGCAAGGGTGTTATTCAATATATTTGACGACTGGGTAAGGACAGAGTACCACAAGGGGCTGAGCGCTGTAACTACACCCTGGACGTGTCTCTGTGCTCAACATTAGCCTTTTATGACAGTACCATAGATTGCTCTAGATCAGAGCAGGGGCAGGGCATTGGAGGGAGGCAGCTGTTCTCCTGTTGGTATGGAAGTATTTAGTATTTAACTCCAGCAGTGCCGTGCTGCTGAGGATCTGTGGGACCCAGCCCTGCCCTTCACCATCTGTTACCTGTGTCAGGTGGAGGGTGGTCACTGCACAGGGAAGCCCACACAGTGTCACTTACCTTCAGTTGCACTTCTCAAGGAACCATCCTGAATGAGTGGGCATGAAATTGTGCTTTCTGCTCATCGAAATGTAACCCCAACCATAGGATGCAAGCATTCTTCCATAATAGAGAAGAGAACTGGATGAAATGGTAGAAGCCAGCCGTCCAGCCCAGCTTGGCCACTGCCTCGCCTTTGACCTGAGACAGAAGTTCTCTGCTGCACTGTGAGGCCACACTAGCACTCTGAGCTCTAAAGACCTCCCCAGCCCCGTGATTCTGTCTCTGCATTTGCTCCCTCAGGATATTAGGAGACTGACTGAATTTCTGATGGTGCGAGAAAGGTTGTTTGATTGCTCTACCTCCTTTGGCATTGTGAGCCACAAGGCTAAGAATTCTTATCAGGGTTTCAGATATTTGGCATGAGCTGTACTTCTAAAGAGTAATATTGTTCTTATGCCTTATTATAAAAACTAAGTTCCATCTTGGTTGTTATTCTTGGCTACCTGAACAGTCCTAAAATTCATCCCAGAATAGTTTATGAACAGACATTTCCAAGCAGGCTCCATGCTCATCGGCTCACTGCCAGGTCCTTAGGTCATACACAGCAGAATGTGTGGGCCTTGAAGAAGGGAGGCTGGCAGTGTGGGCCCGCATCGTCCAAGACTCATAATGGTTATGGGGTCCTCATAGTGCCGTGGTGAAGGGCTTGGACTCTGCACTTGGGCTGCCTGGTTTCAAATCTTGCCTCTGCTATTTATTAGCTCTGTGACCCTGGGTAAATTACTAACCCTCTCTGAACCCCAGTTTCCTCACCTGTAAAATGAGGACAGTGATAGTGTCCGGCTCACAAGGTTGTTGTGAGTTTATTCACTTAAAGCTGTAGGGCACAGAGGAAGTGGTACGGACCTGTGTACTATTGTTATTGACCCAAGATCCAGTTACAGGAGACAGCTGCTCATCATCATTTCCCTCTGCATTCAGCAATAGGATGGGAACCACATAATTTATATTCCTTAAGATGCAACAGAGAACTCAGCCATATGTAATAACATATAGCTGGCAAACCATAAATTTTAATTACTCCATGCCCACTCATGAGAGTTCTTGGAAGCTCCTGGGGTTCCAATTCCGTTGGTTCATTCTTTGTTGCAGTCTATTATGGTATTAAGTAGTTCCTCGAGAGAATTTAGTACAGTAACCTAAATTTCTAAATCTCTCTGTGTTTCTGGATTCTGTCAACTCTGATGATTACTCCCTCCTTTTCTCATGGAAGTTGGAAGTCTGCAGAGCCCTCCAGAGAACGCTGAGGGCGCTTACGTGAAATCTTTCCGTGGGGGCGTCTTCTTCAGGAAGAGCTTTCCCTGCTAATCCCAGGGTTTTGTTGCTAACTACGCTGAAGTCCTGGGATGATCACTATTTTTATTGCTGATCTTCGACATTTCGTGTTATTCTCTTATATCAGCTTTGGACTGTTGTTGTTACTGTTTTAGTGGTGTATATTTTTGCCCCAGATGTCATTTTTGAGACTTCCAAATTTCTGTTGGAATTCTAGCTTTAGGACTTTGAATATTGTGACTGTTTTCTAAAGTGCTTTGATTATAGAATAAGATAGTCTATTAATAGATGCTAAATGAAACAGGTAATACATCTGCCAAAAAAAAAAGATAATGTAGTAAATGCCTTAGGTGAAAATAACCTTGTTTGATATTTCTCATTTAGGTATATACACATCCCAAAAGTGAGTAGACTAAATTTTAATTGGAAAATTGCTTTAAAAAAAGTTGCAAATGAGGAAGAATCTGAAAAGGGTATGTTTATACATATTAGAGGTCACTAATTTAATTTGGTGATATTTCCCCAAGTGTCAGATTATCATCGGTACCCTAAATTGGCACTGATAATAATCAGACATTACTATTTTCTATTCTAATATATTATCTTTGCACAAAAAAGTGATTCTCATAAATGTGACCCAGCTCCACCCACTTTTATGTTAGTAACCATAGGTGTGGGTATTGGTACATATATACCAACACAATTAATATGCATTTTTTTCTTGGGTAGATGCCAGGAAAAAGTAAGCTAACCAATGAGGGAAATATATATTTGAACTTCAGGAAAACTAGGAGTTACTGTAATCTCATATCAGTAAAGGAGCCTTATATTGCCTGATAGAAAAATAAGATCTTCAAATTAGTAACAAAATTTTTTTAAAAACCATTTTTCTCTCATTAATTTTTTTTCATACAAAGTAATGACAAGACGTTTTCACTTTGTGGATAAAAAACACTGTGAGTCAAGAAGCATTTATGAGATTCTAGCACATTTCTGAAACAGCCCTCAAGCTGCTAAGATGCATTTCACATCTCTGTTATAAACACCAGGCGGATGAGGGTGTCTCAGATAAGCCCTTTAATCTCCAACTCATGTGACAGAGACAGAGAGACTGGCACTATGTGTTAGCATGAACAAGTTTCGTAGGGAATTTCACTATCCCACAGTACAAAAGGAGAGATACCTTTTTTTTTCTCAAAGTGTTTGAAACACAGATGGTCTTAATTTTTTCTGCACTGTGACATTTGGTTGCAAGGATAACTATCATCTATAGCCTTGCCCGAGTTGTGAATTGCACATGTGAATTGCAAAGTACACTTTCTTAACTTCTTTGAACATTACAACCCTAAGTAGCTAACAATGTTTTCAGAAAGGATCGTCATTCTACTTAAATCTCTGAAGGACAGAGTGGAACATAGGTGGTAGTTACTCTTAGTAATGGTATTGTTTTCTTTCTCACTCTTTCTTCTGGTCCCCCTGTGCTCAAACCCTGCCTTAGGCTACTTTGATGCACATGCTCTTGCCATGGACTTCATGAGCATCGGGTTCCGAGAGTGCCTAACAGAGGTGGCGCGGTACCTGAGCTCGGTGGAGGGCCTGGACTCCTCGGATCCACTGCGCGTGCGCTTGGTCTCTCATCTCAGCACGTGTGCCTCGCAGCGGGAGGCGGCGGCCATGACCTCCTCCTTGGCCCACCACCATCACCCCCTCCATCCGCACCACTGGGCAGCGGCCTTCCACCATCTCCCCGCAGCCCTGCTCCAACCCAACGGACTCCATGCGGCGGAGTCAACGCCTTGCCGCCTGTCCACCACTTCAGAAGTGCCTCCTGCCCACGGCTCCGCTCTCCTCACGGCCACCTTTGCCCACGCAGATTCTGCCCTTCGGATGCCATCGACGGGCAGTGTCGCCCCCTGCGTGCCACCTCTCTCCACCTCTCTCTTGTCGCTCTCAGCCACTGTCCATGCGGCCGCTGCAGCAGCCACGGCAGCTGCGCACAGCTTCCCGCTGTCCTTCGCAGGGGCCTTCCCCATGCTCCCCCCAAATGCAGCTGCAGCAGTGGCAGCCGCCACCGCCCTGAGCCCTCCTTTGTCGGTTTCAGCCACGTCCAGTCCTCAGCAGACAAGCAGTGGAACAAACAGTAAACCTTACCGACCGTGGGGGACAGAAGTGGGAGCTTTTTAAGTTTTCATTGGACTTCTTGCAGTAGTAACTGAATGTCCTTCATTTCTGAGTCAGCTTAAACCCTCTGCACCCCGAAAGTAGCCATACAGATGTCTACAGATCCACAAAGGAGCAATAAAGCTATTTGAGACACAAACCTCACAAGTGGAAATGTGGTATTATCTTTTTTCTCTTTTTTTGTTTAAGGCAGCTTGGTAACTGACATCAGCAACTTCTGAAAACTTCACCCTTGTTTCCATTTAAAAGTTTCCTGGAAAACACATGGACGGTTCCATCCAGCGGTGCATCAGTGTGTGTGATTGGGAAGGAAAATGCCCTGACTGAATTCTCGTGAAACTAGATGGAAAAAAATTCGTGTTTCATAAGTGCCTGAGCTAGTAAAGTTTTCTTCTGAACATATAACATTGCACAAGTAAAGAAGAGCATAGAGGTTAGGTTAAGAAAGGAAAGGGACAAGCGTCTTGCATTAGGCTGCAGACATTTTAATACAATGCCAGAGATGAGTACTTTGTTGAAACCAACAGGTTTTTATTGGCCAAAAGGATTGCTGAAAATAATTTTCAACTTGAAAGACCTAGTTTTATCCTAGTTTGCTTTCTCTGTTCAGACTTGCCAAGTGGCGGGTGACATTTAGCAATGCATTGGTATAAGCAATTATTCCATCAATGCTCAGATTAACAAGCATTTCTGCTCTGCCTGCAAACCCCCAGGCACTTTTTGTTCATGGCTCAAAAGATGGTGCTTCTTTATGTAAACCACACGTTTACAGAGTGCACCTAGAAGCATTTGTCTACTGTGTCCCACCAGAGGCTCTTTGATTCATGCCAACTGGAAAACTCGCCAGTTTGTAAAAGTTTAGATTAATTTATTCAGTTTCAGTTTGGACTGTTTTTACATATTTGTCCTCTTCAGTTTGTCCTGATAACGTGTAGTATCTATTCTTGTCACCTTTTGGGGAGAAGTTGCATTTCTGGAAGTGATGAGACAGGGAGAGGGCATTGGGAAGAGAGAAGCCACAATTTTGAAACGCTCTGTGTTAAACTTTGTAACTGCATTTGATCCCAAATCAAGATGAATGTATGCAAGGGATGTACATAAATTATTTTTGTCCATGCCTAGACTAGTGCTACGTAATAGTGTTTTGGTTTTGTTTTTTTATTTTGTTTAATGACAAAATAATCTCTTAATACATTGAAATTGAGCACATGAGATTTTATGTTTGAAAGATAAAGACACAGCATGTATTATTATGCACTTCATTTCTCTGCTGTGTGGAGAAAGCAATAAACATTATGAGAATGTTAAACATTATGCAAAAGTATACTTTTAAATATTTGTTTTAAAATTACTGTACCTAGTTTTTTTTTGCATTACTTTGTAACCTTTTTCTATGCAAAAGTCTACATGTCACTAATTAAATGAAGTCCTTTTTGACTATTTTTATGTGGAAGATTTACTTTGCAGAATGGAAAGTTGACATGAATTTTAAGTAAGGCCTTCCTTCACTAATAAGTTAAGCCATGGCTTTTCTTTTTCTCTTTCAAAGTCATTTGATATAATTCACAGCTTGCTTGAAAATAGCATTTATCTGAGCTTGTAAATCAATTAAGCACGGGCGGGTATGACATGATTTGGAGGCAGGAAGTGATCAGTTTCCTCTGCCCTTTATTTTTAACCATGGTTCTTGGAAAAGTGCAAATACCAGAACTCCAAATAATAGTGCACCAAACATAGGCTACTAAGCTAGAATGTGTCACACATTTTGTAACTCAAAAGCACTTGTAGAGTGTTTTTGAAACATCACATGCATACAAGGTAGGCATATACGTGCCTCGTGATGATAAATCCTCTGTATCTACCTCAATGGAAAGTTCGTTAGATGCTGTAGAAATTATGCCGATATTCCTCTTTCTTGAATGAAGCCTAAAAGACACTATTTCAGAGTTTCTCAAGCTATTGGGCCAAACATATGAAAAGAATAAAAAGTAATGTTTTTATTATACATATCAATTTTGCTCAAAGTTATATGAAAAAAGTGGGAGGCTTCTTATATTATTTCAGTTTTGAAAAATCAAGCATGGTTTATCTAATTTCTTTTGTCTGTGAGTGGGTAAAAAAATGAGCAGAAACAGATCAGCATGTTCCTCCTGTCTGTGAACTCCATGGTTATTGTATCTTCAGTTAGCTATGCTGGAATTAGGTAGCAAATAAAATGGATTTAGTGCTATTTGAAATTTGCTTTTTAATCATGATTTGTGGATAACAGGCATAGAAATAATTTTTGTTTAGGATCTCATAGCTGATTCTGTGCCTATTGTAATGTCAGCATTCAAAGAATTTCTTTTCGTTTTTTGGAATGTAAACTGTTTTAGAGATCAGGAATTTCTTTCTTTTAAAAATTGGATTAAATGTTTTAAGATAAATCCCCTTCCTTGCTCCTCTCCTCTCTTTCTCTTTCTGTTTGTTTTTTTCTTATATTTCTTTTTTCCCAGTTACATATGGGTTATTACTTTTCAATTTAATTGGTTAAAATATTTGCAAACCAACTTGTCACATAGTTGCTAAGGGTTGTCAGTGTTCCTAAAGATAATCATTGTCGGTAATTTATGTCATTTAAAGTTAATTGGTCCTTGATCAACATTTCACATCATAAGCTTTTAACATCATATTTCCCTCTTTCTATTACCTTTACCATTGAGTTTTTCATCTCCAAGCCAATGTTTTGTGAAAGTGGTGTTCCACCTTTAGGAGTGGTAATTTTCATGTTTGCTACCAAAATAGAAAAAAAAAAAATTGTTCTCATAGTTCAAGGGAAAAAGAACTTTCGTGGTTTGATTTATTGATGGCATTTATTTGTGTAAAAGTTATTCTCAAAGTTAACTCAAAGGATTTTTTGGTAAGAAAAAAAGAGGACATTGTTAGAAATTTAGTTTTCCCCAAATGTTAAAAGCTATATTTATGCCTAATTAGAACAGTTTTGTATCAGTGTGCCAGAAAGCGTTTATTGAATAACTACTGTGTGCCCAGCACTGTGCTGTATACATCAGGTGTTGCATGGTGTGTAGTAGCGCATGAAAGTGTGATCCCACAGCCTGACAGAGGTGTGGCTGCTACCCCGGCTATTTGCAGGGACCCTCAAAAGAAGGAGGGGCCCCAAGAGTGAGGAAAGGGATTCTGGGAACTAGTCCAGAGGCTTTTTGCTCTCCTTGGGGTCTTTTGCTATCACAGAAATGCTATTTCCTATCATATTTGAAGAAATCTAAGGGCCTTTTATAGTAACATTGAAACAAAAAAAATCCAACTATTAACTAGAGTGGTGGCTCTAGGATCCACACGTACATAGCTAGCATCAATTTTCATGAAGCCTTTTGGATTATCTTTCTTTTGCTAAAAATTAAGTGAACACAAAGTAAGAGAATCACCTGCAGTAACATTATCACAAAGCAAGATGATTCTAAAGTCCCATATTTCCAAGAGTCTGACTCCATCAGTTGGAATATATACTATTGGTTTCAGGCAGTTTTTAAGGAAAAGTGCCACCGCGGCATAACTTTACACATTGATAGAAGACATCCCAATTTCCAGAGAGTAAAAATGAAAAACAAAAATGCATCTTGGATTTGAGGCAATATTATTATATAATATTGTACTCGAATGTGTGATTTAAAAAATCCATGGCTAGAGATTAGCTAGAGAAATGAGGCTGATTTAGCTGACTATAAAAATATCTCCTTGGGATCAGGTCCTAGCCAAAGAATCTGGATTGACTTTGTAATGGCTTAATGATCTAAAGATAAATGTATTTTTTTAAGCTTTTCATGTTTTAATTGCCCATTGGGACTACTCCTAGTTCCGCATTTTACTGAAGAATGGAGTTTGACTTCCTCTTGTAATTCTTTTAAGATCTAAGCAATAACCGATGTTGTGAATATTTCAGCAACTACAACAAAGCGTTTGAGCAAACATGACATCATAAACTGTCACTGTAGCTCATAGCCTCTGGAGGGATAAGTCTTTGAACTCGGATGGGGGATCTTAAAAAGAAGAAAAGCTTCCATAGACCATCTTGTATGAAGGGCCAGAAGCATATGAGAAATGGTTCTCTGCGTACCAGGGGCAACTTTCTCCCTCTCTTCTAACTTCAAAGGAACAGGCAGGAATGGGGTTGGTCAGGGAATTGGGTCCTCTGGTATAACTGACAGAACCAGCACCCGCTGTAAGTCACAGGTCTAAAGAAGAAAATAAAATGTAATCCTTACTGCTAATACTGTCTGGTTGTTCTCTGTGCTAAGCTCCATGCTGAGTGTTTGAAATCTCTTCTCTCATTTAAGCCTCATAACTGTCCTATGGAGTAGATAGTATTTTATCTTTACATATTAGGAATCGGAGAATGAGAGGTTAATTGTCCAAGGTCACAGCCAGCAGTTTGAGCTATGACTCAACCCAGGCCTGTCTGATTCTCAAGCCTTTGACCTCTAGGCTGTGGCTTTTCACAGGGCCTTTTTGGACTCAAACTCATTCAGACTAACCAAGAATTTCAACCTGCTTGGGATCACTTGTGACTAATGACAAGAGTAAATCTGTCTATACTATTAGCATAAAAACCTCCATCATCTCACCCTTTTAATATATGAAAGGATAAAAAAAAAAGGAATAACTCTACCTTATTCTGTAATACAACATAAAAGGAAAGTATTTTAGCAGTTCTCTGGTTTTGACTTTCAACTTTCAAGCAGTTCGGAGTTAAGAAAGTTTTAAACTACCTTGTTTAAGGGTACCAAAGAATATTCTATCATCCTACTCAAGGTAGTTGACAAAAGTGAGGCAAAATGGTGAAGTATTAAGACTAGATATCTGAGTAAATTGAGTTTGAAAAGAAAAATCCTGTCTTCGATTGGATGTAAAAGATAAAAGATTTTTTTTGAGGGGAGAGGGCAGAATGCTGGATCGTGGTGAATGTTTATACATTCCAGGTCCATCATGTCATCAAACAACATTCTTCATTTGGCCTATGAAGACCTGCTCAGTAACCCATGCACTTCAACAATTCTCATTGTGAGGAAGGGCTTTTTCACTAATCTAAACTCTTCGGCCTACAGCTAAGCATGCTTTCTGTAACAGTTAACAGTTATATGTGCATAATTTCTCAAAAATCTTATATCCAGAGACATTTTTATATGCCTCTAAGTTCTTGGTCTTCTGAGAACCGAATATTCTGTTTCCTTGACCTCTGTTGTCATTCTCTTCGTCTGTGGGAATGGAGAGATTCATGCGTATGAAATGGTATATGCATGTAATGGAATGCCTTGTAAACTTTTTTTTTAAGGGATAGAAAGAGGTTGAGTATCTTTGGCAAGTTAACTCTGAGGTTTCTTGAATTAAGTCTGCATTGTACTAGTTTTGTATTTTCATTGCAGTGAAAACAAAGTCACATATTCTCATGCAGAAGAAAAACTATTTCGCAGAGAATGGCTATTATTCATAATGTTTCACTTGTGTAACGGGGTGACAAATTTAAAATTGCTCATAAACTCCTAAAACAACTAAGTATCTGAGTTAACCCTTCCTTTCTTGATTATAAACTATCAAGCTGAATATTATTTACCATACTATAAAACTCTGCTTCCTGGATCTTTCATTATTTCTTTTTGGACCTTTTTCCTTAATTGCAGAAAGCCTCAAGAGTTTTTTTTCAATAAAACAATGCGAGTGAAGTTTTGTGTAGCTCTGTTTGCATGGACTTTCTCCTGGGCCAGCAATGGCTGGCCTCTTTCCTTGTCCTAGCCAGTCTGTCCCAGTGCAGCTGCTTTAAATAGGTTTCCCTTGGGGTCTGGCAAGATGATGGAGACGTGTTCAAAGTCAGGAGGGCAAAACAGAGAGGCACACAGACCATATTTTACTCTCGTCATAACACATTTCTCTGTCACAGTCACAAGCTGCCTCCTAAACAGGAACTAAGCCAGTCACTTTTTAAGTTTCACAAGTAGCCACTGTTAGATTTATTTTATTATTTTGACATACTTCTGACAGCAGAAAGATAAGCATGGCATAGAACAAATGGTCAGATGTAACGACATTATCACAACCCACATATAGCCTGGTGAACATCAGATGAGGGTACAGCCAAGCTCAGGGGACAAGCGTTGCCTATGGTGACAAACATCCTTTACTGCCACAGTAAGGAGGCTTGATAGCCATTGTGCCTCCTTTTCAAGGTTCAGAAAGCCCGCCAAAAGATGTCCCTGCATCCATGACTGCTGAATCATTGAGCAGGCTTAAGGCATATGCGTTGCACCAGGAGAACAGACTTGAACACCAAGTGCCTCCCGACCATGCCTATCATGGGAACGGGTCTCAGCAATAAACCCATGAATTATCTGGCCCACGCTGACCAGTTCTCACAACAGAGCTATGCCCTTGATGTGAGCGTCAAACGCCAAGCATGCCCAAGAGTGGGAGCCACAGACAAAACAACACAGGAGCAATAATTCAACAGAAATGCCTTTAGCCACTTCTCCAAACACCAAGGTCCAGCAGGCAGCTTCCTTGCTCTGAATCTCAGGAGCTTGAGACAAAAGGAGAAACAAAGTTCACCATTGTCTGTCTTCATGATATGACATAGTGAGAGAAGTGGTGAAAGTTATTTGTCCAATTGTTCCTTTTAAATGTATAATTTAGAAGTTAAAATTCTGTAAGCATATCCTCTATTAATACAGGAAGGACATATTAACAAAGAGGTGGTTTGTTTAACGATAGTGCAACTTCACAGTCGCTTCCAGGATGATGCATGTTTAATTACGTACGTAAGTCTATCAAGCAGTTTTGTTTAAGATGTGGGGGCTTAGTAAAATTCTTGGTACTTATTCCACAGACCACTTATAAATAACTTGAAATCCATATTTATAATTCTAGTGAATTTATCTCTACTCAACATTTATAAGTCATTTTTAAAAATCTCAACTCTTCAATGAATAGTATGATAACTAAAAGGACGAGTTCTGAAATCAGACGGATCTGGATACATCTTGAGATGTATTAACTATGTGACTTTGGACAGATTACTGAACCCGTGCAAGCTTTGTCTTTCTGATTAGTAAAATAGGATTAAAAAAACCACCTGTCTCACAAAGATTTTCTCAAGATTAAATGAGATAATGTACATAAGACCTGGCACACAGTACACTTTCAATAAATGGAAGTGTAGCTTCTTCAAATTCAGTTTATTCAAAATGTCTTATGATCCAAAATAAGTCACTTTGGGTCCCATTCACCCACTTTTATTCAAATACACACCAAGGTAGTCCCCAGCACCCATTCTCTCTACATTAAATGATTACATTAAATAAAAAGCATGGACGTCTTGCTTTTTATGAATATATTTACAGATTCACAGAATTTCAGAGTTAGAAGAACATAACCTAGTCCTGTGCTTCATTTTTCGGATGAAAAAACCTCAGGTCCAGCCAAGCTAGATAATCTTTGCCATAGTCACCGACCCAGGGCTCCTGATTTCCAATACACCGTTCTTTCTGAGGCAACGCGACCATCATGTAAACATTTTCTTTCATATCTTTTATATTTTAGGTGCCAAAGTTTTTAGTTTGTTGTGGATGAGCTAAATAGGTCTGTTTGTTAAAACACCACACTTTATGTTTCCTGTTTTAAAAAGCAGTGGTTTTTAGTCTGATTCAAAATAAATACAATGGAATCAAGTTTCTTTAAAAGAAAAATCTTAAATCCAATGAATATGGCAGAGATTGAAATTACATTACTGTTTTTAAACGCTATCCTTCATCATCAAAAAGCTAATCACGCGCCGGTGAACTGAGCTGCGTCATTATCCGGCACTCGGACCGACTCTTTCAGATACTGGTTTCCCCCCCCATCCGAAAGTTCGCTTTACGCCACTTCCTCTTTAGGAAAGACCAACGTGAGTACCGGTTTTTGCTAACCAAAGGAAATCTGAATATGAAAAAAAAAGGCGAAAAGTAGATATAGCCTTCAGCGTTTGTCTGGCAGCGAGCTATATAAAGGCAGCGTCCATCCCCGGCAGCGAGAGTGGCGCCACCAAGCGCCTTCCCCAGGAACTGCACTCAGCGTCTCCGCGTGAAGCCCCCGCAGCGTTGAACCGAGTCTGTGAGCAACTGTGCTTTATCTTGATTTATTTTGGTAGGGTATTTTTTTGGGTCTGGGAACGCTCAAAACTTTTCCCCATATAAACTAATGGTAACTGCTTTATCGCTTTATGTCATTTCGGCTTAGGAAGGATTTCATAGGAACGCCCTACTTTCGGAGAGCGGGGGAAACCCGTGTACTGATAAAGCCGCTGACTCACCAACGACTGCGAGTGGGCTTTGAGCTGCTGCTGCGCCCAACCCCGTTTCTGTGGCTCCTTAATGCTCTCAGTGTGAAGACAAAATCCTTAACCTCAGACTACAAAGCCATGCCAGATCTGTCCCCTGCCCACTGCTCAGGCCTCTCCTCGTCTGTCTTTCTCTGCTACCTCTGATTTGCCGTCAGCCTTCCCGGCTCTCTTTCAGCCCCTGTTCTACTTCCTCTCTCCTGCTACAACAGCTTGCACATGTTCCTTCTACTTGGAATGTTCTTTTTTCCTAGGTAACAACTCATCTTCATTTTTCAGATCTAACAAACGGATCACTCCTCTGGTATCTCCAACTGGTTCAAAACCTTGCTGTGGAAACGGGTGAACCACGTACTTCTCCTTCGCAGAATTTATCAGTTGCAATTTAGATTTGTGATTACATAATTACTGTCTGTCTCCACCACTACGCTGAAAGCAAATGATAGTGGCTGTGTTTTTGTTCACAATGTTAAGTCTCCAGGGCCTCTTTGCCCTGTGTGTGGAACAGAAGGGAAGCTCAACAAATATTGTGGACATTGGTTAAATGAATGAATACATGAATGCATGATTGAATGAGGCATGAATGAATAAACGTCATATGCTGGACCTGCACACTTGTTGCATTGAATTTATCTGAATGCTTCCTCCAAACTTTAATCTGATAGCACAGTACATATGCAAGGAAAATCAAGCACAATCGATGAAATGAGAAGAAAGAAGCTAAAAGAAAAAAATCCTCTGCTGCTCCCTATGAATACAATAAACTCTAGATTTTCAGCGCACCATATTATAGCATCTCCAAGATAAGTATGGGTTACGTGGAATCTGAATCTGAATGAGACACATGAGGCTAGGATGCCACCTTGTGGCTTGTTTTCACATTTATCATTTTCAACCTGCCAGGAACTTTCCTACCTTAGAAAAGTACCATTATAAACTATGGCAATAGAGAGGAGTGGAATTTTGCTCAACTAAATATTGCTTGCATGCCATTATCCCAAAGTCTTCGTTCATTTTGTTATTCGTTTTAATTATTGAGTTGGTAGAGAAAATAGTATAACATATGTATAAGTTATAAATAATCAAATGAGAATGAATCCCTGTGTACCTATTGCCCAGCATGCTACTACCTGTACTGTTATAAAACACCCCTGTGTGGTTCTTCTTGTTTTCTTTTTGGTGAGGAAGATTGGCCCTGAGCCAACATCTGTTGCCAACCTTCCTCTTTTTTTTTCCTCCCCAAAGCCCCAGTACATAGCTATAGGTCTTTCTAGTTCTTCTACGTGGGATGGGGCCTCAGCATGGCTTGATGAGTGGTGCATAGGTCGGTGCCCAGGACCCCAACAACGCACCCTGGACCCCTCCAAGCAGAGCGTGCCAATGGAACCACTACGCCACCAGGCCAGTCCCCTCTGTGTGCTTCTTGCTGAATCCTTCCTCCATCGTCTCCATTAATGGGGAATAACTACTATGTGGCTTTTATTTATAAGTTACCATTCATGTATATGTCAATAAACAATATTTTTAATTTAGCATTTTAAAACTTCATATAAAATGGGATAATTCTGTATTTGACTTGCTTTATAAATGAATTAATATTTTTCTGGGATTCCTCATGTTGATAAGAGGAGCTGTAATCCATTTGTTTTCATTCCTCTGTAGTGTTTCATTGTATGACTATACCACAATAGATTTAGCCACACTGCTCTTCATCAACATTTAGGTTGCTTCTAGTTTGGGGCTATTATGATGGTGCTGCTGGCAGATTCCTGTATATATCACCTGGGGCTCACATGCAGGATTTCCCAGGGGTTGAATTGCCGGGTATGGCAAGCTCCAACTTTACTAGATAATAACAAATTGTTTTCCAAAGTTATTTTATTGCATCAATTTACACTCCCACCGTTAGTGTATAAAAGTCTCAGTTGTTCTACATCCTTGTCAACACTTGATATTATTAGATTTTTCCATTTTAGCCACTTTGATGGGTGTAAACAGAATCCCTTTCGTTTTAATTTGCATTTCCTGATTACAAAAGAAGTTGATCCTCTTTTCAAAGCTTTAGTGGTCATCCATGTTTCTTCTGAGAAGTGCCAGTTCCAGTCTTTGGCCTTATTCTTTCATTTATCCACTCAAGAGTCATTTGAATTGTTACCATGTGTCAAGTACTGTCATAGTCTGGAGGATACTAAGATGAATCTGACCTAGACCCAATCCTCGTGGAGCTCTTGGCTTACTGTCACTTCACTGCCTTCAGGGATGATACTAATTATCAAAACCAAAAAACTGCTTCAATTTTGACCCCCAATTATATGATCATCACTTTGCAAGGCAGAAGTATGTTTTCTGAACTCTGACCTCAAGGAATTTACAAAAACATAACAAACACAAAACAATAGCAAATTATTTAAAATATTATGTACTATGTTACATACATTATAGAAATTCAGAGGATGTAATAATCAGAAAAAAAGCTAATTAATCAAGTAGGTCCTTGGTTTAAATTTAAATTGCTTTCCTTTCACATAACTAATGTAAAAATATTTTTTATAGCCTACTTAGTAAAGGAAGAAGATGAAAAAAAGGAACCATTTTAAGTCAATAAAATAATAACGATCAACATGGAGATGTAGCCAAGATTATTTTTAAATAAATAAAAATTTTACTGAAGAAAAATCGCTTTCACAAATCAACACACTTATCCACAAATGCAAGTACACTGTGTTTGCTTTTAATCTTAATTCTTAATTAAAAATTTTCCGCTTCTTTCTATGGAATCTGGTTTTGTCCAATAAGCAGCTAATGGGGGTTGACTTTCACCGAAGTTGTAATGCGTAGAATTCAATTATACTTTTGAAAGAGAACCTGAAATGTCCCGCAATTCCTCTTTGCTTCTATGCAACTCTCCCTATGAACCGCCCTATTTGTGAAGACTGCTCTAAAGAAAACCCCACAGTGCCACCAGAAAACTTGTTGTAGTGTGGGGAGTCTTAAGACAGGATCTGGGCTGGGCAAATCCAGGTTGGAATCCTGGTTCCCCCACATACTAGTGTGACTTTAAATGTTATACATTTTCTGACTCTGTTTCCTAAACTACAAAATAAGGATAATTGTTGTAAGGATTGATTCTATTATTATGGATAAAGTGCTTAGTTCAGTGTTCAGCATCCAAAAGAACTCAATAAGTGACAGACATTATTCAGAATGACTCAGTTTAATTCTTTTTCCATTTGTTCTTCTCTCAGTGGAAATAGCATTATGAGGGGCTTAACATGTATGTGACTGTCTTCAAGAGAAGTCCTAACAATCTACTTCTTGGTTAAATTGATTACATAATTCATTCATCCAGCACCAACCACATGTCCAGCACTGTACTAGACGCTGAAAAAAGTTCTTCCCTTCCTTCCTGCCCATGCTTGGTTACGCTCAGCCATTCTTACAATTCTGGTACGCATCCGCACAACTCAACATCCACTAGAGTAGTTCAATCCTAGATGAATGACAATTTTCTGTTTAAAATAGAATAATTTGACAAGGTCAGAAAAATATTTTTGGTGTGCAGCCAATAACCTTTGCTTTCTTTTGTGCAGGTTATATACTTTCTATTTCTTTACCTTTAAAGAACCTCCCCATATGTGGAGCATTTCTGCAAACAGTCTTTCACCATTTCCCCGTTCTTCATAAACATGGAATCGAGCACAATATTCTGGCTCTACAAAGCAGCAACTTTGTGCTATGTGTAGGTGCTGTGATATAGTGCTGTGTCTAAATGACAATATCACTTAGAAAAAGTGTACTTCTTTGACGAAAAATTACAAGAGAATGAGTAAAACACAATAAGAATGATATCAAAACCAAACAAAATAAAACTCCATTAAAAAATTAACCAAACAAGAAAGATGCCGTATGCTGTTAATGACTCGCTGCAATCTTCAGGGTCTTTCTTCTTTGGCTTCCTTGACCCAGACTTGTCCGGACCATCTTCCTTCAGATTTTCCTCCTATGTCCTCCTCTAGCCCAAGTCAAGCCTGCAAATCTCAGCTCTTCTTTGTGCTTCACTCAGTGCCTTGGCAAGCCTTTCCATTCTCGAGGCTTCAGTTCTCACCTCAGAGCAGAATCTCCTCCAAATCTACCATCATTACTCAAAAATTCAACCCATGTACAGGACAGCTGCATTTGGATGACCTCTCTTCAGTCCAAATCTAAATGCAACATGGCTTCCTGCTCTGCCTCTCTCCCAATCAGCACGCTTTCCAAATTACGAGGCCATAATCGAAAGCTTAATCATTTTCTTCTTTGATTCCTACTCAACGTGATAGAGACAGTCTTATTGCCCTCTGTAGGCCTGTGTCTACAAGAATGACTCGCATGGAGTACGAATTCCATAAGTGTTTGCTAAATCAGTGACTAAATGAATGATGACAAGAGATTTTCACATATTGAGGCCTATGGGGTAACTATTCGGGTTCAAAACTGATTCAGTCTGAACCAAAGAAGCCCGACTTATGGCCTATCAAACATACATTGTACATCTGCTTAACAATTAAAGTAAAGAATGCACTCTCTTAAAATAAGAATGCATACTTCTCCTCCTGCGCCTTATTGGCACCGTCCTGTTGGTAAAGCCTGTATTAATCCCTTTCCCCACATCAGGGTCATGTGGATCTGCTAATTTGCAACTGAACACCTCTTTGAAACTTTGATGAATATCTATCCTGGGTGTGTTTAATGTATGTTTTTTGTTCTAAAAAGGTATAACACTGTACCGAAAACCATCTTCTCCAGAACGCTTTCTTCCTTTGTGGAAAAGGCCTTCCCGGGTTATAATCCTCAGTTTGGGCTCAAGTAAAATTCATCTTATCTCTCTTATCTATAGAAAAGTTATTTGTTATTTTGTGTCGAAAGTGACAATAACTCTGTGAAGCATCATGGAGGCTGTTAGCATCTCCACTGTACAGATAAAGATCCAAGGGTTCAGAGAAGTTGTCACCTTCCGAAGGCAACCCAGTTGATCTTGGCAGTCAAGATTAATTCAGTCTCTGGCTCCTGAACAAAAGTGCTTTCCTAACACCTCTTTTTCTTCTCCATATTTGTTCTTCCATAATATCTAATTCATTGATAGGTTTGCTGTCTCTTTCTCACTGTAGTCCAGACCATCAGCACCTTGAATCATGTTTGTAGCAATGGCCTCATAGACAGACTTGCCCACCGTGATATTGCCTCTACTAATCTATTCTGCACCCAATAGCCATTGTCTCACCACTCATCTGTGCTTAATCGCCTTCATTGTCTCCTTGACCTTTTTACAACATCCTGTCCTCTTCTCTGCCACTTCCTTCTTGATCTCTCTTATCTGGTCATTACCTCTCTTACTGCTATTTTGCTATTTCCTTTTTAGTTATCGTACTTCTTCCTATTCTCCACTATTGCATTCTCACCTGGGTTTATTCCATGGTCTTCTGTCCTTTTTATAGATTGTCCTTTTGAGAGAACTCAAATCTTCTCAAACTGCTAAACTAATGGCTCCAAAATCTATTCCTCCCACCGTAAGTTCCAGCCTGTTTTTCCAGCCACCATCTAGCCGTGCTCTCTGTGGGGATCTGGCTGAGCTTACCTTCTCTTCCCAGTCTGTTTCCCCATCTTAACGTCCCTATTACTTTTTAGGCTACTCCAACTTTACTAATCACATAGAACATGTATAATGGAGTCATCAGTGATTCTTCCTGATTCTTAGCTCTATCTATCCTATCAAATACCAAGGCTTCTTGCATTCCCTTCATAACTCCATAGCTTTTCTTAAGGTCCCCCATAATCTGGCTGCACCAACTGATCTGATCCAGACCTGTGCTGTTCCCTAGCACAGGTCCCCTGCTATAGCCAGCCTGACATGGCCATCCTCGGTGAAGATGCTAGGTCTTGATCATCCCAGATCCTCTAAGATGAAATGCCCATTCCCCTCTTCTCAAGATTTCCAGATCCTACTAGCCTTTAGGCTAGCTTGGGAACCAGTTTTCAAGTTCAATTTTCATTCTTGTATCCACTTTCTTCACCCTTGCCCCACCACATATTGTAATTATTTAAAGTACCTATCACTTGGTAAATAATCAGTGAATGGTGCCTATTATTTTTGTTAATGGCAATAACAATAATAATAATACGCATATATTTCTGTCAAGTCCTCAATATAGGGCTCCTTAAAACACTAGAGTCACATCTTCTCTTCTCCACCCCCTGGACCATTAATAAATACTCATCATTTTCCTCTTCCAAACTAGTCTCAGCACAGCTAAAAGGAAAGTAAAACAAAGCCATTTTAGTTGTAATCAAGCTTTTAGTCTGTTTCTATGCTATTGTGAAATTTTAGATTTAAACTAAAATGGCCAAAAAAACCCAATAGCTCAAAGAATGGCAAAAGTTAGAATGTTTTTGAAATTTCAGAATGAAAAAAATTAATGCCTATATAGCATTCTTTTTCTTCTTTGACGCCAATATTTCCATATTTTCTTTTGGGGAACTCGCAGAATCCTATTTTGCTCTGAATATAAAAATTCCTGATGATACTTAACTCCATTTTTTTGAGAGGGCTATATGATTCACCTGCTGGGAACTGACACACCGGATGCAAGAAATTGGCAATATTTGTACGAATCTCTTAGAGAAAATGTAAAATAACAGATAAAATGATGAACTAGAACAGGTTATTAGGAGAAAATATAATAAACCAACTGCTTGATAATTAACCAGCAACGTACTGAATAAAGATCTTAGACTCATAAAGGAGAACAGGTTAAGAACAGCTCCAACATACACAAATAATCTACAAAGTACGTAATCTGAATACGTAGAACTTGGATATAAGCATGATGCAGAGTAGGTATAATGCCACCTAAAATTATTTCCTCCTTTTAGCAGTCAAACAAAGCTCAAGATTAAACAAAGGCTTAAAAGTTAATGCTTGTATACACATCCAAATTATCTTCAAAACCTGGAAAATGCAGTTTTAGAAAAAGCTTCATTTTGGGAACAAATGTGTATAGAGTATTTTAGAATCAGGGATCTTTATGTTGTTTATTTGATTGTAAACAGTATTTGTAAAAAGGTAAGGTGTATTTTAAATCTTAGATTACATAATATTTAAACACTAATTGCATTTTTATGATTGGAAAAGATCAGCAACAATTACCGAAACTCAAGCAGTTAAAACTCACTGCTTTTACCTTGCCAAGTTGGCACAAAATAACTCCTTCCCTGACCGGGAATCGAACCCGGGCCGCGGCGGTGAGAGCGCCGAATCCTAACCACTAGACCACCAGGGAACTTACCAGCTTGGTTTCCTGAAATTTATTTGATTCTTTCAAAGCCTCCGCGTAACCGTGACCACTAAGAAACAAGTTTGTTGTTTCTAAGCTCCACCTACTTTGTTCCGGTTCTGAGTCTCCGCCTCCTAAACCGAGGCAAATTCTCGGCACTGCCTGGAGAGCTCCGCCGGCGTATTAAGAGCCGGGCCCTTCACATCTAATCCTCTTCCCGCTGCCCTCCTGGAAAAGACGCCCTGAAATTTCATGCTAATTACGTAACATGTAAATATCTATATCCAGACAAAAGTTAAAGTACTGCCCAGAACCTTGTAATTTGCTTTATTATTTTCTTAATCATCTAGCTTTTCTTTCTAAATCTAACCTCTGTCTCTTTCTGTCTTTCTGTCTTTCCCTCTTACGCAGATGTTAAGTCCCAGTAAACATTTTACTAAATCTGAACGATGGATTGCCACCGGCGGAGAGCATTTCACGTCCTAGAGCTGATGCGACAACGCACACGTCCTTGGCACAAAGCACATGCTCTATAAATGTGGGTTATGAAGGGCCACGGGGCCTTAGGGGACGCGACTAGATCTATAATATACATATGTCGTCGTGATTACTCAATTGGGAGTCAGGCTAACAAGGCTGAGAGAGCTGTGGGTGACATGCCTAGTGAAGAACTGGGGCATCTACACGCGGAGCCAGTAAACCCTTCGAACCCACCGTTCCGTTATTCTCGTATTTGTTATCCTGTGTTATCTGGGCAATTGCTTCACCTCTCCGCATTGTGTACGAGACACGGCCAGGAAATGATGCAATTACCAAAGGAGTCAAGAAACCTTCCAGCTCAGCCTCAATTCAGAAACCCCCATGAAATAGGAGCAGAAGGCCATAGGATGTAACTCAGCTTTGAAAGTACCAACCATTACAGCTGAACAAATGTGACCCAAGAGACTCCGATCCGCTGCAAGATGGAGGGAGGGTTAAGTAAAATACATATAAATTTGTAATGACCTTGCTTACAACATCCGGCGCCACTGTGAGTTACAGCCATCATCCATCACCACAGAATTCAGGTGAGTCTGTGCTGGAGTGTTGTTTATTGTTTTCAACAACTCAGAGATGGAGTTTAGATATTGATAAAATTTATCTAAAATTATTTAACAGTATGCAAACAGAAAGATTGAAAGGGCTCATTAAGACTAATAAAGATGGAAAAGTCACCAGAAGAAATTTCTTAACTTTTTATATTTTAGATGGGGCACACACCTCTTTCCTGTATCAAGGAATCTTTAGGAAGTCGAGTTCAGTAGAGGGAGCTCTTACCTCTCGTTTGGGGATTGCCAGAGCTCAGCATTAGAGAATTCGGTTTTGAATAAAAAGGTAAAGCAGATATTACTTTTAGACTAATTTTAAGTTTTAATTGGTTTAGTCACTAAATTGTACAAAAAGGTATAGTGAACACCACCGTCCCTCTCTTATACCCTAATTTCTCCTCATTTCTTCTTCCCAAATAACCATTGTTAAGTTTCTTCTGCATCCTCCTGGAAATAGTCTGTGCAGAACCAAACTAATGTCAATCTCTTTTTCCCCCAACTTTTTTTCTTGAAACATCCCAGACCTACAGAATATTGGAAATATAGGACAATGAAGACACATACGTACCCTTCGTCTACACCTGTGCTGTCCAACTTAGCAGCACCAGCAACATGCGGCTATTGTGCATTGAAATGTGGCTAGTACGAATTTAGATCCTCTAGAAGCGTTAAATGCATACTGAATTTTTAAGTCTTAGTATGAAAAATAAAAGAATGTAAAGTATCTGTAATAATTTTTACATTGATTACATTTTAAGTGATAATTGAATATATTGGGCTAAAATGTTAAAATCCATTTCACTTTATTTTTACTTTTTTAGTATACTTACTAGAATATTTAAAATTATATCTGTGGCTTGCATTATATTTCTATTTTACAGTACTGATCTAGATTCACCAGTTGTTAATATTTTGCCATATTTCCTTTCTCTTGAGTTAGTTTTTCTGAACCATTTGAGATTAGTTGCAGACTTAATGATACTTTACTTCTAGATACTTTATCACATATTTCCTAAGAACAAGCGATACAATTATCACATATTTCCTAAGAACAAGCGATATAATTATCACACTTAGGAAATTTAAATTTAATACAATATTTTTTATTATACAGTCAATAATTAAATTTTCCAGTTTCCTAATAACACCTTTTATGCTTTTTCTTTTTATCCAGGATCCACTCAAGGATTATACATTGCATTTAGGGGTCATGTTTCTGTAGTCTCCATCTTTTAATCTTTTTTTTTTACAACATTGATTTTTTTGAATGGTGGAGGACAGTTGTTTCAGAAAAACTCTCAATTTAGTTAAATATGTATATTTTTTCTTTAAAGATTGGCACCTGAGTTAAAGATTGCCAATCTTTTTTTTTTTTTTTTTGCTTTTTCTCCCCAACCCCCCCTCCCCCCAGTACATAGTTGTATATTTTAGTTGTGGGTCCTTTTAGTTATGGCATGTGCGACGCTGCCTCAACATGGCCTGATGAGTGGTGCCATGTCCGTGCCCAGGATCCTAACTGGCGAAACCCTGGGCCGCCCAAGGCGAGCACGTGAACTTAACCACTCGGCCACGGGGCCGCCCTTAGTTAAATATTTCTTTTGGCAGGAAAGCTACCTTAAGTGATGTGTCCATCTCAGTGCATTACATCAGATGGCACATAATACTGATATATCGCGTTTATCTCTAAGGGTCAATGTGGTGAGCAGAATACTGACCCCTTTGGAGATGTCCCTGTCCTTATCTCCAGAACGTGTGAATATGTTACTCCACGTGGCAATAGGAACTTTGCAGATGTGATTAAATCAAGGATTTTGAGACAGAGGCGATTATCCTGAATTATCTGGGTGGACCCCAAATCATCACAAGGGTCCTTATCAGTGAAGGAGGGAAGCAGCAGAGTCAGTATCCCAGTGATGTGATCTGAGGAAGACTCAACCAGCCTTCGCTGGCTTTGAAGATAGAGGAAGGGGACTATGAGCCAAGTAATGCAGGTGGCCTCTAGAAGCTGCAAAAGGCAAGGAGATGGATTCTCTCGTAGAGCGACCAGAAGGAAAACCGCCCTGCCAACACCTAGATTTTAGCATAGTGACATGCCTGTTAGACTTCTGGGCTAGAGAACTGTAAGGTAATATATTTGTGGTTTTTTCAACCACTAAGTTTGTGATAATTTTTCACAACAGCAATAGGAAATTAATACAGTTAAGTGTGATCATTTGATTAAGGTGTCTGCCATATTTCTCCATGTACAGTTACCTTTTACACTTGGAATTAACAAATGTTGAAAAAAGCAATTATCACCCCATGGAAGTAATACTTGGAGAATGTATATGTTTTCTGTTCTTCAGCAAACTTTCACCATGGTTTTAGCATCCACTGATGATCCTTGCCTGAATCAATTATTGCTATGTTGGTTGCAAAATGGTGATATTTTATCATTCTCATAGAAAGAACTTTCCTTTCTCTCCTCCCTCTTTTTATTCTTTATTTAATTTTTAAATATCAGTTTGGACTATTCTTTTTGCTTTGTGTTTTTATTTCATGTATTATCTATTGCTATATCTACGTAGTTATTGATCTAATCTATTGCATTATTCATTTAATATTTAAATTGTACCAAATTTGGCCAGAAGGAGTCCTTTCAAGCTGGCTCCTGTATCCTTTTGACATGTCCCTATAAGGTTTTGAGCACTTCTTTCTGGCACAAGATGGTCTAGGGACACCCTGTACTTTATAGATTAACTGAGGAAGAATTAACATCTTTTTTAATTTCCTTTTTTTAATTTTTACACAAAGAGTGGCACACTCTATATACCTTTCTGTGATTTTTTAAATTATTTCTTCCAAAGGATATCCATTCTTTATATAAAGAGTTTTCTCATTATTTTTGATAATTCATAGCATTCCACCGTAAAGACATTTTATTAAAGCAGCTTCGTATCATTGGGCATTTAGATCGTTTCCAATCATTTGCTGTTACCAAAGCACTACAAAGAATTACCTTGGCCCAACATAATTTAGTATTTAGTTTTTATTAATTTGCCCACAAAGGACTCACCTTATAGAGTACCAGTTTCTGATTTGAAAATTGTTGTTATATATTGCAAGAAAAATCATGGCATCCAATTCAAATTCAGTTATAGTTATACCTTATTGATGATTTATTTTCAATTTGATTTCAACCTTACCAGTTTTTCTTCTTCTGTTCATTAATTTGTTCATCCACTGAACAAATATTTATTCACTACCTAATATATGTTAGGCATCAATGACATCAAGATGAACAAAGCAGGATCCCTGACCTTGAGGCTTAGTCTGGTGGGGTTCAAGTAAACGAGCAATTACAATGTGGTAGAGTAGTGGATGGTAAAAGAAATGTATGACTGTGCTTTAACTTAGTAAGTTTATTTACTAGGTTCAAAATGCATCATTCATCGCACATACTTTGCTGGTGGGAATGTAAAATGGTACAGGCACTCTGGAAACTCGTTTGTCAGTTTCTTTTAAAACTGAAAAGGCACTTAACATATGACTCATCAATTGTACTCCTGGGCATTTATCCCAGAGAAATGAAAACTTTTCACACAAAAGCTGCACACGAATGTTTCTAGCAGCTTTATTCATAATAGCCCCAAACTGAAAACAACTGAAATATCCTTTGATGGTGAATGGCTAAACTATGGTACATCCATACTATGAAATATTTATCAAAAAAGGGAACAAACTAGGGCCAGCCCAGTGGCACAGCAGTTAAGTTCGCATCTTCTACTTCAGCAGCCCGGGGTTTGCTGGTTCAGATCCTGGGTTCGGACCTACGCACCACTTGTCAAGCCATGCTGTGGCAGGCGTCCCACATAAAGTAGAGGAAGATGGGCATGGATGTTAGCTCAGGGCCAGTCTTCCTCAGCAAAAATAAAAAGTGGGGGGAGGATTGGTGGCAGATGTTAGCTCAGGGCTAATCTTCCTCAAAAAAATTTTTTTTAAAAAAAGGAACAAACTGTTGATACACAAAACAACTTGGATGGATGCCAAGGGAGTTAGGCTCATGAAAAAAAAAGCCAATCCAAAAGGTAACATACTGTATGATTCCATTTATATAGCATTTTTGAAATTATAGAGATGGGAACAGATTAGTGATTGACAGGAATTTGAGATGTGGTGGGGAGGAGGATGGATATGACGGTAAAGAGGTAGGCTTTGGGAGCTTTGCTGTGATAGAACAGTCCTGTATGTTATTGCAGTGGTGGTGAAAGACTCTATACAGATGATAAAATCTCATAGAAAACACGCACGCGCGCGCACACACACACACACACACACACACACACACACACGAGTGTATGTAAAACTGGCGAAATCTGAATAAGCTCTAAAGAGTATACCAATGCCAATTTTCTGGCTTTGTTATTGTACTTTAGTTATGCAAGACGTTACCACTGGGGGACAACCAACTGGGATGGCGGGGGTGGGGGAAACCTGGCTCCCTGTATATCTTTTGTGAATCTATATTTCCTTCTTTTGAAAAACTCCCTGTTCAGCTTATTGCACTGTAAGTTTCTTTCACCCAGTAAATCCAAACCACCACCACCACTTACTGTCACTTTGAGTTTAGGGATTCATTTCAGAATTTTAAATTATATCTTAGCACCACAGTCTTAGCACCAGTTTATTTGAATATTTTTCAGAAAATGTAAAAAATATGTAATGAATTCTCAAGCTAGTGAACAGACCATTTTTAGCAGAAATAAGAGAGAAGAAACTGTCCCGAAGCAGCTATTTTTAAATTAACTGTGAATAAAAGAAAAGGGCAAATTTATTGTGCTTAACCTAAATATCAGCATAAGTTCTGTGTGCTGACAGGCACGCAGACAGCAATCCATTTCTATATGTCAGTATTTCTTTCTCAATACGCTCTGGCAGTCTCCTCCTTTCAAATTGTAGGAAGATTTCTATCTCCTCTTTAGACTTTGTAACAAGCCAAGAGAAACACTGAACCCAGGTCCATCCATAAAAGGACCTATTTATGTTCTTCTCAAAACTCAAGGTGGAATCTGTGATGTGCTGGACCAATGATCCCAGTTGTGAAAATGAGCCACTGCCTGCAACACCATTAAATAGTGAACTCTGTTCTGCTCTTTAGGTGCAGGATGGCTACTCACAGACCTTCACAGATGTCATCAGAATCTACCTCCTATGAAACTCCTGTGTGTCAACAGCCTAAGTCACCTGTGTGAAAGCAGGTGTTTCTCTCTGTGCTAGAAAAAGGAGGGTAGGTTTAACTATTAAAGAGTGAACTTTCTTGGTGCTAATAGACTAAACTCATGAGCCAATGCACAAATCTCCTCCTTTATACCTCTACAGAGAAAACTTCCAAAGAAGTTTCAATTCTTTCAGTGATGGTGAGCCTATTACTTATCCACTGGCGAAGTGTTAGAGGTGCATTGGCCCATGTTCCTGGAACTCCAGTTCCATGACAGGTCCCAGGTGTTGTGCTTAAGAAGATGTACTGGCCATACTTCTTTATTACAAAATTATCTTTAGATAGATGTGTAAGACAAACACTGAACACATTTGCAATGATCGTTGCTATTGTTTGGTGATTTTTTTGAAACCATGGAATTCCTACCCACACCCCTCCTCCCCCGAAGTCGCTTAGCGCCTGAGCTCAGGGATCCAGTTGCCTCCCACTGGTCCAGTTCCTACCCTGTGGAGCACAAGGAGGGCAAGTGAAGTGACCCCTCTTTTCTTCCTTTAAGAACTAAAGAGATCTCTGCTTCTCCATATCTACCCTGAAGTCTCATCATATAGGGTTCTTTGTCTCAGAAAAAGTGAGATGACAGTTCTACCTAAATTGCCCTAAAATGGCCTCTACCCTTCAACAGAGATAGAATGGTCAGTCTTTATATTTAACAGAGGCCCTTGGATCCATAAAATCAGTGTAGCACTATCCTTTTTCAGTAACTTAGCATTTACCGAGCACCCTCTATTAGCGAGGTACAGTTAGGGGTGCAAGGGATACAATTATTCAAAAAGGAAACCTTTATTAGAATAATGTATCTTGTTATGGTAATAGCTAACTTTTATTGAAGCCCACATTCTAGCCTTTAGCCTAAGCATCGTTCATGGATTATCTCATTTAATCCCTATGTCCACACTATAAAGTTGGCACTACTATTGCCCCCCTTTTACAGATAAAGCAACAGAGATTAAGGTACCCAGGGTCAGTACATGATGGAGCTGTGGTCTGAAGCCGGAGCCTGAATTCTTAGAGAGTACCATGTTCTTAAGACATATACATTCTAATGAGGTTTGATCTGTAGTGTACTAAGATTTTTCC